ATTCTCTTTTTTTGAATCTTTAAATAAGTGAATTCAATAACTGTGTACGAATATTGTTCAATTCTCTTCGATAAGAGGTGTTAATTTCACTATTGAGGTATTAATTAATGTTAATTTTATTATTGAGGTATTTATTAGAAAGTTAACATTATTCTGGAAAATACATTTTGTATTTTCCAGATTCCTACTATCCATATTGTTGTAGAAAAATGTCTTAATCAGTTGAAAAACACCATTTAAACCTTTAAAGAATAGTGTACAATACGTGAAAACGCGCCCATTATACCAAATTAATCAATTTTTTTGCTCACTGTACAGGGGGTGCAATTTGGGCGAAAACAATTCTCCGAAACGCAACTTTTAGGGTTTTTCTTTTTAACTTAACTGATTGGACGAACAACTTAACTATCTTGAATTTTAATCTATGTCCGCCAGTTTTCTTTTTTGTCTATTAATTCTTTGAAAATGCAGTTAATAAAGTGATTCAAATTGAAAAAATTTTTTAAAAATATTTTTCAAAATATTAATTGAAATTGACTAGAAATTATTATTTATAAAAAAAATAATAAATAAATAAATAAATAAATTATTGGTCAGAAATACTCTGCATTGTTTTGATTATGAGAAAGAATCAGCATATTTTTATAAAATACGTCGGAAATTTTTTTTAAAAAATCAATGCATTTCTTAATAAAAGCTATTATTGTGAGAAAATATTATTTAAGCAATGTGGGAAAAAATGCTTTTCATGAGGTGATAAAGTATGGATCTACTGCCCTGAAAAATAAGAAATCTATTTCCAGAGAGAAAAATTTCGCCATTAATGTTTGCATGCTAAGCTTAATCTAACAAAATGTAAAAGAACTATAAAAAAAATCGTTAAAAGTTAAATTCTCCTGCTTTTCAATTTTCAATACAGAAGCCGTACCATACTGTAACATCTCATAAAATTTTAACTTCACGAATCAAAATAAATGAACGCTAATAAAAATGAAGATATTAAAACAGAATAGAAAAGTAGGAACATGACGCTTTATTATTTTATTTTAAATCATAAAATCATCAAATATGGCTACACTTAAAATTATTTGTTTAAAAAAAGTTTATTCATAGAAAACTATAAATTCAAATCTACGGATTAGAGCAAAATATTAACAGCTAAAAATATAATTAAAGAAATAGCATTTATCATTCATTATTGTCACATTGTAGATTCAAAAATGCTCATCATATACCATATTTAATAATTCCGAAAAATAAATTTCAGTTTTACTTTCTTAAGCAAGTAATAATAATAATAAAATATACTCATAGATTTAGTCATGACTCAACAATTTAAAGTTACACTTATATTACACTAAAAGTTAGTTTCTTTAGAAACAGATTGATAGAAAAATGTTCTAAAATCGAAGATTTAGGCTGAAATAAGTCAACATTAAAATAGATTATTTCTGAAATTAACTATTATCATTCATTAAATAGGACTCACATTAATAGGTTCTACACTCAAAGTAACTAAAAGAAAGTACTTATAGAAAAACATAAATTCAAAACATGTGTACTAGAAGCGACGATTAAAGTTAAAATAAAGGAAGCAATTAAAAAATAATTAAAAAAAAACATTTCGCAGTTACAATTGTCAAATGCAGCAAACATGAATAAAATCAGCACTTGAAGAGAGAATTTCAACGGAACATAATAAAAAATTCCTGCACAGTTAAATCTAAACAAATGTTGCACTTTTTACAAACGCGCTATCAGTACTTTCATGTACCATCATCTTCATGGCACATTGCAGATTACAAAATATTCACCATCTTCTTGAGTTCCTAAACATTCTATTATTAAAGCGACTTTTCTGGACAGCTACTGATGGAATAACAGGCATTGCATGAAGATGAAAACACTCTTCACCAAAGGGGCAAATTCCTTTACCGTTTTTGAAATATTTACAACGTTTTGTGCTCAAAGACTTTCTATAGTCAGCAATTAATATCTCCTTTTCCCCTTCGGAATGAACCCATTTCTTACTGGTTATGCAAAATCTAGACGGCACTCTACATTCGGGACAAGCACGAGTAACAGCAGGATCTATTAAATCTTCCTCATGAGAATTTCGCACTTTTCTCCACTTAATAATGCAGGATAAACAAAACACGTGATTGCAATTCTCGAGAATACCAAACCGACGGTCTGCAACTCGATCTTTTTCCATTACGATATCCAAACATATACCACAAGACAAATCACGTCGAATATCCGTTTCTCGCTCATGCCTACAGACTGCAATATGAAGACCTCGCTGCTTTTCTTCAAAAGGATCCAAGCAATATCTTTGACACAGTTCACATAACTCTCCGTGGATGCATGGGCAATCGTCGAATGGACAAATACCATCAAAGAAATGTGGGCAGAATTCCATATCCAGTTTAGCTGATGATTCAGAAGTCTGCTCATTTTGTGAACTATCACCACTGTCATTTGATTTCGAAGAAGTGGCTAAATATTTGTTGTTTGCCGGCACGAATTCAGGTGCATTTATCCATTCGCGTAAATCTGATTCACCACAAAGAGATGCCTCACCATTTAAACTGGTGTTGAAATTTTGAAGACTTCTCGCGGCGGGAAAAATATCCAGACCCCTTGTCCGTTGATGGGTAGGACCAGTATTCTGCTCTTCATTACTAGATTGAGATATATAATGAACATCCTCTTTAGCGTTTGGATGAGAATACCAACAGTTATCACCAAACATGCAAATGCCTTTCAAAGAAAAAAGTCAGACGATATTTTCACGAAATCTAGGCGTCTGTCTAAAATTGCACCTATTACCTTCTTGGCAAGAAGAATTTAAATAANGAATACCAACAGTTATCACCAAACATGCAAATGCCTTTCAAGGAAAAACGACAGACGATATTTTCACGAGATCTACATGAGCCGTCGTGTGTATAATTGCACCAATCACCTTCTTGGCAAGAAGAATTTAAATAAAACGGGCACACTAATTTCGTCATATTTATTGGTGCGCTTTCAGCCATTTTATATAATACTTAATTCACTTTCACCTCTGCTAGTGATAACAACCAACTATGGAGTAATAAAATATAATGCACAGGGGGAGATAGTGTACATCAGAGAACGTGTCGATTCGAAAAGTTTTTTTTTTTAAAGTTGCATTTTTACCATTTTTCTAAAAATATTTTACGTCTTTTTCTTTTTTTGCTAATTGAATGCAAATGATGTTTTATGAATAAACTGTCATTAATGAAGAAATAAAGCATAACCCATTTGTGACCTGAGTCTTTTTAAATTGACTTTTTTTTAAAAAAGAAAAATGTGGTAGCTCAAATGAATCATTTCTGAAATTTATTTTGCGAATACAAGAAAGTTT